ATCTTCATCTTCATCTTCATCTTCATCTTCATCTTCATCTTCATCTTTATCTTTATCTTCATCTTCATCTTCATATTCATCTTCATCTTCAACTTCATCTTCAACTTCATCTTCATCTTCATCTTCATCTTCATCTTCATATTCACCTTCATATTCACCTTCGTCTTCATATTTATCTTTTCCTTTATCCTGATCTACATCTTCATTCTTTTCTCCATTTACGTATTTACCCCCACCATTGTTATTAGGTTAGGTAGTTAAATTTTCCTTCCTCTTTTTCTTTACATTGTTTCTTTAGTGATATCATGTCATGTGTTGAAATTGGGTGTGATGAGTTGCAGTATGGTGGAATTGGGTGTGGGAGTTACGGTGTTATGAATTCACGTGTGGTGGTCTTAAGAGGTGTGGTGAATTTAGTTGTGGTGAGTTGAGGTGTGGTGAATTAAGGTGTGGTGAGTTAAGGTGTGGTGAGAAAGTTGAGGTGTGGTGAATTAAGCTGTGGTGAGTTTAGATGTGGTGAGAAAGTTGGGGTGTGGTGAGTTAAGGTGTGGTGAATTAAAGTGTGGTGGATTTAGGTGTGGTGAATTAAGGTGTGGTGAATTTAGGTGTGGGGAGTGAAGTAGTGGTGGATTTAGGTGTGGGGAGTTAAGGTGTGGTGAATTAATGTGTAGCGAACTCAGGTGGAGTAAGTTTTTAAGCGGAGGTGAGATGAGTTGAGGTGAGTTAAGTTAAGTTAAGGGGTTAAGTTAAGATAAGTTATCTTTATCCTTATCTTCATATTCATCTTCATCTTCTTCCTCGTCTTGGTCTTCATCTTCTTCTTCATCTTTATCCTTTCCTTAATCCTGATCTAAATATGCCCATTCTTTTCTTCATTTACATATTCACCCCCACCATTGTTATTAGGTTAGGTATTTAAATTTTCCTTCCTCTTTGTCTTTATATTTAGGTTTCTTTACTTTTATTTTAATTTCTGTATTTATCCCTTTCTCATACTCAAAATTATCTCATCCTTGTTTGAGGCTAATCTATTCATGTACATACGTACATACATCTTATTCCTAAACTGCTGCTTAGCACGTTTCTTTAATTCACTATCAATATTAAAGCATACATTTAGGAGGCATTTCCGCCCCAACCATGTACATGTATGGCATTGGTATTGGTGTGACTTTTGAATTGATTTTTTCGCTATATTTTAAACTAATTTGAAATTTTAAAAATTGCCTGCACATCAGCATCAAAATACCTTTCTAATGATATATAATTGTTTATACCTTAGAAGTACAGTTTAGCCGTAAAAGGGGTGTAAAGGAAACATGATTGCCTATTTATATAATTGATTACTTGCTAGTATCGGAGCTATTTCTTGCATTTCTTCAACGGATCGTTGCCAGTAAGTCATTCGCAATCGTATGCTGCGAATGTACATTATACTAAAGCCAGCCTTCCGACATAATATCCTAGGCAGACACAAGGTTTCCATACTACAATGTGTACTGCAATGAAAGCTCAAGAAAACATGTACTAGCATAGTGACAGACATCTGGTATTCTACTACGTTTTACACCTATCGGCTGATGCAAAAGTTTGTAAATAAAAAACAAGAAAATGGAAATAGCCAAAATTATTATTGCAAACAACCTAAAAATATTGGATTATCGGAGGAAAATAAGGAAATATTTTACACTAGCTCTTAGGGCGTTAAAAAGAAGCATTATAAAAGGATTGCATTAAAAAAACGAATTTTGAGAAGATTCCGAACTTGCTGATCAATGGTAAGTGTACAACAGCTCATTTTTAACGTACTTATAAAGCATTTTTTCACTCGTAGGTGGTAGATTCTCAATTTTGGGGAAAAGACGTTCAGCTATTCACAGAAGAAAAGTTTAAAAATACCGCCGAGTGACTCCAAAGTGAAAGAACTAGTCTCTGGTTTTGATCACCTAGGATTCCCTCAATGTTATGGCGCAATAGATGGTTGCCATATTGAAATAAAGCCTCCAAGGACGAGGCTAGCCATTACTATAACTTTAAAGGGTGGTACTCAACGGTTTTATTTGCATCGGTTGACTATAGGTGCAGATTTACGTATATCAATGTTGGCACACCAGGCCGAAGTAATGATTCGACGATATTTGGGCAGTCGGCTTTGAGGAAGTGTCATTCCGACAATCAGATATTAAAAAAACACGCAAAGACGATCGAGGGAAGTGATTCAGCATTCAAACTGTCTAAATATGTTATGCAACGATTTCCATTTTCTATGAATCAACCGGAAAGTGAAAAAATATTCAACAAACGCATTTCATCGTGCCGGCGAGTAGTTTAAAACGCTTTCGGGCATTTAAAGGCTCGCTTTAGACGACTTGGCCTAGGTTTGGAAGTCAATATAAAAAATGTCAACACAGTTATAAAAGCGTGTTGCATTCTTCATAACATATGCAACAATAGAAACGACAGTGTCAATCAGCAACGGATTCAACAAGTAAATGCTGGAAATAGCGGAAGACATCCTCATAGGGGGAACACTGACAGAAACGATAGCAATTGCGGAATCGCCATTAGACAAGCAATTATGAGAAATTTTTTCCACAGTATGTATTAATAACATATTTCATACAGAACTACAGACACGCCGCATTAACGTGTAACTTTCTGGCAGGTGCTGCGACGGGTTCTTAATACTTCCAACTCAAATTCAGTACCCTGGCTTTGATAAAATACCAGTTCTCAGTACTGTAGCTAAATGCCTGCAAAAAAAGTAGCAAATTTTTCAATCTAGGTCATAAACTATCCGTGGTGATGGACCACCAAACATCCAAACATAAAAATGACACATTTATAATATTAGTAGGATATAAGATGTGAGGCGCCACGCCGCCAATTTTTCTCCATGAATATGGAATTATTTCATATGTCTCTATACCAATTTCCAGTACTCTACCATTTTTTACATAGCGCACTTTGCATGTGGACATAAATGATTTTCCATACAAAATCACTTCGGCTTCATTTTGCAAACACGTGCATGCCCTGGAAGTGAGAGGAGGAGACAAAAGTACATATGTGTGTGTAGGTATTTTGGCTTTTGAGTAGCAGATGACACAATATTTAAAAACTAATCGCAGCGTATCACAGTGGTTCGGCTCCATAAATTTTTTGTAAAAAATAGAAGGAGTGGTCCTAGGGTATTGCACACGGGTTATATGTGAGCTAGTTAAGAAATATTTCAGAAATGATTGAAATCGGTCAACCCCTAGGGGTACCTCCTTTGGACCTATAAAAAAAATTTAAATACAAATGTTAATTTCAGCTCAAAACAGGAAGATATCTTGATATCTAACTTGGCGCATAAGTTACCCTCATGAAAGGTACTGACGGTACCAAAAACAGTTGACATCGGCCAATCCCTAGGGGTACCTCCCTTGGGCCTATAGTAAAAATTTTTAAATACAAATTTTAATTTCAACTTATCACATCTCCATTTTCTGGTAAGAGTTAACTCAGAACATGATAAGGAGTTCAACTTTTCTACTGAGAAAGTATCAATAAGTCTTCTTGTTGTGTGATCAAGTAAACTTTGCAAATTAACAGCAGCATATGTTTCTGTTACTACAATTTCGGGACACAATTTTTTCTTCATCGAATACCTTAAAATAAGCTGGTAAAATGTTGAAACCTTCAGAACTGAGGGCAGTTCTGATAGTTTCATACTGAGATTTTGTTAACTCTGCATCCATTATTATCCGCAGTGCGACTGAAGCACTAATATAGTCTTGTCTACTTTTTCCTTTCTTCAGCATTTCACTTGCCATTGAAAGTTGTTGTTGTGGGTACTGACCCGCTAAAGCAGCAGCCTTGTATCGATCACCGCAATCACTAAACTCCTTACTCTTTCTTCCTCTCTTCTTACAAGTAGATTGGCTGCTTCATGGAAAATATCTCTTCGAATCATCCCATCGCTTTTGAAATTGACCCACAAATCGATTCGATATATTTCGTTTCACTAATGTAATATCATCAGCTGTTAGCCCCTCGGTATTTAACTCGATAAACTGCGTTAACGAATTCACATTACGATCACAGTTTATAAATTCCCCACTTAATTCTTTATAAGAAACTGAAAATGCACTCATTGTTTAAATAAAAAATTAATAATATATCACAAAGTTATCTAATGCTCTCTGTGTCTACACATTCGTAAA